ACATCTCGACTTCCAAAAGTGGTCCGGACCTGGTGTGTTTTGTACATTTTGACTTGGAAATGTGCTTCGCGCCACAACAGCGTGCAACTTTTCATCTCTCATCTGGCCAGCTGGCTCCGCACCCGCCGCTTTAGCGAGCCTACTTTTCGACTCTCCGGAGCCAGAAATCATTGGAAAAACACAGTGTTTCGCGACTTTCCTACCTTTTCGCGCAGCTGCATCTTCTTTCTTCTGACTCTTTCTCTTCTAATCTTTCTCTTCTCTCTGCCTCTGCCCTACTCTGCTTTTCATCTGTCCAGATTGTCGGAAGTTTGACTTCTGAACTTCCTTCGATAAAAGGTAGAACAGCAACCGATGAAGACTGCGCTTGCTTTCTGCATCCTGTCTAGGAACAGAGAACGGTCAGCGTCTGGCATACCATCTCTTCGTTTTCCTGGCAAATGTGGACCAGCAAGAGTTTTGTGGAGAAAAGTTTGTTCATGCAAATGTTTTAGCGAATGGAACTGAAATAACGAAAATAATTTGAGTGGACCTCAGCAAGTGGCATCAATGTGGATATGTCTTGCATACTTGCATTTGGCAAAAGGAAGTTAAGAAGTGTCCTGGGCAGCATGCTCACCATTATGTCAACCACACCATCACCTCATCATCACCCTCATCCTCATCAGTCAACCACATCATGACTTCCTCATCACCCTCATCACATTCATGAGCAGCACATTCATGATCATCATCATCGCAAGCACAAAATCATCATTCATGACGTTTTGGCAGTCAACATGTGAGTGCAAGATTCAAAGTCAGAGTGCATCATTCACAGTGACGCCTCTTGAAGGCCAAGTTCACAAGAAAGAACCTCGGCGGCGGTCGGGCAACGCCGAATTTTTTTTGGTAGACCATTTCTGACTGCAATGTAAATGGAATGTTATCCTTTGATGCAATCAATTTTCATTGTGAACATTGGTGGTCACCAGCAATTGGATTCTTCGGGTGTCACTTGTAGTAAGCTTAGACAGCACAAAATGAAGAATGCGCTGCTAACAATTTGGCGCACGACTTTTTCCCATTTGTCGTTTCTTTTGACAGCGGTCCTCGCTTTTGATTTATGTCTGAGCTATGCTCTGACGTTTTCCGTGGCGGTGTGTGAGCTATGCTCTGACGTTTTCCGTGGAGGTATTGGGTCCAAAAACTTTGCATGTCACGGAGGTTGGAGGAATGATACCAGATCCATGCTTCGGAGGGAACACTGCGGATCTGTCTCTGCCGAAGCTCTCTCCTCCAGCAAACGCCAATTCTCCGGATGCTTCCGCATCCAAGTGGTGCGTTTCCATGACTTGCAAATGTTAGGTGTCTTGATCATGTTCGCACGGCCTCTGAGCAAGCAAAACATCCTGACACCATCCCTCTGATCAAGCAAAGGGTCTGTAATCCAGAAAGTTCTGGCACGGGGTCCGTCCCGGGAGCACAGCTTGATCACTGCACTCAAAGTTTCTTTGTCCAGTAAGTCTGGCCTGGCAGTCGTGCCATGGAACGGCACTCCCTGCACCAAATCATCTCGAAGCAAAGCGTCGAGCTCCACGTGGTCTGCTGGCTGTCCGCGTTGATGACGATGAAGTGGAGGCGATAGCAAAGTTACTTTCGAGCTTGAAGATTTGTTGGCGCCGGTGCCTGGACTCTCTGCCCGTGGGGGAGGTCGCACTGGAGGTGCCTTCACGGGCGGCCAGGTGTTTCTGACAGCTGTCCTCACAGGGCTGCTTGTATCTCGTTTCCTTGAGAAAGATTCAGATCTGGAGCTGCGGCGTCGTCGCCGTGGAGGCGGTGGCAAATTCCGTGGGCGACGGGGCAAAGGACTGCGGGAGCGTCTTGTTGATTTCGAGCTAGAACGTCTCCTCGACTTAGATCTCTCTATATACGGTGTCTGAGCTATGCTCTGCACACCGTGGGTCTGAGCTATGCTCTGACTTTGCGGCAAAATGCTTCCGATTTCTTGCAAACATTTGTCATAGTTGCGGCAAGCGCTGCATGTTGCTCCGCATTTCATGCGAGCCCACTCGGGAGATTGGTAGTGGATCAACAGAGCTGAATGCCCATATCGAAGCATTTGATGGTATGAGCAGAAGCCGACGCACACGCTTCGGTGTCTGCCAGATTTACACCGCACTTCCACCAGAATCCCGCGAGGACAGTCGCAGGCGTCAACGGCGTCCTTGATGCTTTTGAGGGCGTTGAGAAATCCAGAGAGTTTGATGAGGGACTGGCTGATCCCGGGCACCCAACCCACGTGCATTGCCATCGCGGGATCCCGTGCCGGGTCGTACAAATGCGCTACATCGATGACGAAGTGCTTGCGGCCCTGAGGATCCAACGAGTCTTGATCAAATCTCTTCCCCCGTGTAACAATTACGATCGAGGTGTCTGAATTTATGGCCCTTTCAATTTCCCTCTGAACTGTATATCGTAGATGATGATGGAAGCCAACGATCGTTTGCGCAGTAGCGTCCATGGCCTCTTCTGTCCCGGACCTGCGGGATGTTCTTTGGAATCCCTTCTGTGATAGGTATCAACTTTTCTGATCAGTTCAGCAGCGAACGTGTATTTTGTGTTATCTTTAAACCTTCTGGAAAAACTCCTGCAAAAACTGTCAGAAGCAATGTTCCGTCTGAGCTAGGTTGACATTAGGGAGTGTTAGAAAATGTGCTGCGGAGAATCCATCATGTCCAAAATGGTTGTGGAGTGATCAGTGTCCAAAATGTGCCAGACAGTGTCGAAAGACACGAATCCAGCATGTCTGGAATCTGAGGTCTGAGCCATCCTGTGACCGCTTGATGCGGTAGGTACCCATATCCCAGCACCTGGTCTGTTTCGCGGGCAGCGGCCAAGTTCAAGATGCGACTTCTTTTCTAGAATTGATTCTTATTAAACATCCTTGTTGAGGCAATACTTGTCAGACACTTCTGACTAACCGCTGTCTGTTGAAAAGAAGTTTTTTTGACTGCTGGGGCGTCCGACTCTTTGAAGTTAGCTTGCCTGCACTTGGTTTAGTCCGCAACTGTGTGAAAAGTGGATGACACAAGGTTTTTTTTTTCCCTGCGGCGCTCTTTGCTGCACTTCGGCATGGTCAATGGCCAGTCTGGACAGTGTGGGCCCACGCTACCGGATCCCAGTGGTCCGCTTCCATGGCAAAATGCAGGTGTCAAACATCCGAATCAAGCATCCTGACAGCATGTTGTCCGTGTCCAGTGCGTCTGGCCTGGCATTAAAGCTGCTGGTGCCATTGGACTTGATTTGGCCTGGTTGCGGCAAGCAGTGCATTTGCCTCCGCACTTCATGCAAGTTCACTCCGGAGACTGTTAGCCCACACGTCGCTGTCTACCTCACTTCCATCTCATCACCAGGTCACACCGTATGCCTGAGCTATGCTCTGGCCTGGCGCCGTATTGCCCGCCATATTTGCACAAACGAGCGTGGCCAAATCCAGAGAGTTTGATGACGCATGTCTGTGTACGCCCCAAGGCCGTTTCTCTGGCGTGAGAAACAAGGTCGTCCAGATGAGCGCTGGTGCTTCAGAATCTGCGCTCATCTGGACGAACTTGTTGCTGACGCCTTCCTGACGCTCCTTTGTCCTCACGGAGCCCCAGGAGTTTTGTGCCGTTTCACATCAGCTTCTCGTCGTATCTCCGGCTGAGTCGTCGCAGCCGCAGACACGGCAAGGCATTTCCGTGGACCAGGGTTCCGTCCTGTACGACGCAGTGCGGAACTGGTGGCATCTCCCGTCGTTGTTGCTTTGAACGACGGCGGCGTGCTCGAAGTTCACGAACGCGCAGCTGTACTTCCAGGAACGCTTCAGGTCCCAGCGCAAGGATTTGCGACCCTGCTAAGATACCCCGCTCGGGGTCTCCCCACCACCCAACCTCCTGGAGGGAGTTCAACCTCCTCTTTCGTCCAGGCTCCGGCCGCGGATGGCTGCATGGCATGCAGCCATCCGCGGCCGAAGCCCCCTTGCCGAGTGTCGGCGGCAAAAAATGCATTGCGGCTGGCTCCGTAGTGGCCGCCATATGCGCACCGACGAGCGTTGACAACTACAGGGAGTTTGCTGATCCCGGGCACTCAACCCACTTGCCGTGCCGTGCGGGCCATGGCGCGTTGTTTTCTGGCACGCGTTCGCATGGGTCGATTGCTCGGAATTTCTACTTGGGCAGAAACGCAGTGAAGACAAGTATCTTAAAGTGTGGCTTCGACCATGAAGACAAATATCTTGAAAGTATGAAAGAAGAGCAATCAGAAGATCTTCGCACCTCTGCAGCATCCCGAAGCGATGTACCTGGCGCACGCGAGCACTCAAGCAAAGGCATGGTGTAGATAGTCTTCGACTTGTTGAAACTCAATAAGCCATGTCTACCGTTAAGAATGCGACAGCCTTTTTTTCCAGGAAAGAGTTGGTAGACTCATTGGCACGACCATTGGACGATAGGAGAGCCAAAGTCGTCTGGCCAGCAGTCCGGCTGCACGCGATACACTGCCACCTTCCAGGGTCGCAACACATGCCGCATCAGCACCAACGCCAACGCTTGCGCGAACCTTCGCGCGTCTCTGGCTTTGCGAAATTGAACGTAGAAAAGGCGTGAGCTGTTGTTGTCATTGATGGTTCGACCCAAAAGAACCAGCCACATGAAGCGGTCGCCGCGAGCGACTGTTGCCCCACCTCCCTTGGAACCAAACTGCTTTTCAACTTTCTGTCAGTGTTAGGGCAAAGGCAAGATCGGAAGAAAAGGAATGCTCTGAAGGATTGAATTATTTCAATGTCATTGTGTATCAAAGGAGCAGCTCCTGACAGTTAATCAAACCTAGAGGACAACTGAACCTCAACCTGGCTGACAACTCATAGCTGATGATGAAGGAACGTGATTTTTCTTGAGCCGAATAACATGCGTCTAGTGCACTAGTGCCTGAATTATGCCATGCGCACCGGCTGAGCTATGCTCTGCGCAGCACCTTGGCGACTAATTATCGTAGGCGTCATCAACCTTCTCTTCAAACGCTGCAAAGAGCTCATCTAGTCCTTGAAAACCAATGCTTTGCTCGCACTGCTCATAGAACTGCAGGCTCTCTGTGATCAAGCTGTCCCCCTCCGACACGGCTGGATTGGAGCCAGACTTGTGGAGCCGAAAGTTGTGTCGCAGGAATGCAATCCGGAGAAGCATCTCAAGCCATGGCCGTGACATGTGCCTCCCAGAAGGTGGCAGCATGTCCTTCACTGACTGCCAAGCGCAGACAGTCCCTGACTGTAATTTGATTTGGGCATGGTGAATGGCAACGGCTATGTCTCTCCATGCCCACAGCCCTTCCACCTTCAATGGCTTCTGGAGGCGATCGAAATAGTCCGAGACACTCTGGGTCATGGCCGAGCGGGTCCCATGAACTTGGCCTGGATCGTCAGTTGCCTTTCGCACGCCTCGCTTCCGCCGGCTCCCTTTGCGACCAACCGAGTACCACTTCACCAAGACACTGATCTCACGCCTGGAACATGTTGAGCTACAGTGGGAATCACAAAATTTGTCGCAAGTTCTTGAAAAAGTTAAACGACAAATAAATGGATTACGAGCGGCTTGAACTCTGCCACAGTGGTATATCCGCAAAGTTCTGACGGCAGCTTGGCTCCAACACACTTGCAAAGCCGCCTGATGACTCCAGCTGTTGGCTTGGCGCCGAACACATCTATCCATGTCCTCGCAGTGGCCACGTCTGTCTGCACAAGGAAATCTCGCAGAGCTGCCACCCCATCCGCATTTTGGGACGTCAGCCGCTGATTCTCCGTCTTGTTGCCTTGCACGAGTTGCAACAGAAGGTTCTGAAAGTCTTCTGGCAGGGGCTGCGCTGCAATGGGCTTATCCGATTTCTTGTGACTAGGCGGCACTGCAGGGAGAGAAAGCTTGAATAGGCAAGCCTGTGGCAGCAAGAAAAAGCAAGAGGACTGCCAAATAATAGGATGTCACAGAAAATGTCGCAGGTTATATGTCAAAGAATGCGAAAAAACACAGAGACAATGTGAAAACATATGCCGGAAAGAATGCGAGAAGAATGTCAAGATAACATAATGCCTTGTGGTCTGCGATCAAAGTCCTCGCGTCTGGGGACGCCGCAGAAACACACCTTTGAAGTGCCAAGCAAGCATGGACAGGGTCGCCCACGATGCGAACGCAGCAATCACCTGCGCCGCGTGCGGCGCCAGCCGCATCGGCTTTTGGGCTTGTTGCTAATACCTCTGCGTGTAGCTCTGGAAACTTCTGCCGGTAGAAAGCTTGCAAAGCCAAACGTTGCTTCTGGTAGGAGTCAGTTGCGTGCGCAATCGGGCACGATTGCTGCAAAGCCATACCAGCCTGAAGGCGGTCTGCCTTCAAAGAATCCACCACGTCTTCTAAGGCAGGAAGAAGGTCTGGAAGAGCTTCGCTCCGCAATAGCTCTGGCGGAGCAAGCAAGCTGCCATCCACGCCTAGAAAGGCAACGAGGCACCCGTGAGGCCGCCGGCGAACACCACCAGAAAATTCGACTACTCTCTCAGGGATGTCGTAGTTTCCGTCATGTCTGAGCAATGTGCCCGCGTACAAGTTGATGTGTTGTCGGAGCCGTTTCACTGCCGAAGATGTGTAACCCTCTAGGGCGTTGAGAAGGATCTTCCGCAAGGAGACATTGGAAGGAATTGCTGTGCACAGTGTGCGCAGGCGAGTCATGCAGCCGAATTGCCAAAGCAGAAGCCCCGATTTGCTCCACGATGGCCCTTTTAGTGGCTCTAACATTGAGGCGTCTGTAAAAAAACTTGCACCAGATAAAGCAGAAATTTCTTGGTGAAGAAAACTGTGCCGTGGCGACGATCCCGCCATGTCAAAAGATCAGGGAATGCCGCTTGCAAGTCTGACACTGTGATGACATAATACCGCATGGACGCCCCGTTTGCCGCGCAGGTGCGGCACCGATATCTGCGCCCATCAATTTGTATTGGAAAGGGCAGATCCCATACCCAGATGCTCCGTCGCTCATCTGACATCTGTGAAGGAAAATGACAAGGTTGCTCTGAAAGATGTTTCTCCAAAGCAGCTGGCATCACTTTGCGAACGGTCAAGTCTGCGTACACTACACTGCCTTCGGGTGGTTCACGCCAGCGCTCGGCGAGGTCGCAAGCCAGAGCAGAAGACTCTTGCAACACCTACGGAACAAAAACGGCCAACCCTTGGCAGCTGCAAACTGATAATGATAGTGGCGGAGTAAGAACATATCGTCCTACGTCCAAACTCTTGACATTCAAAAAAACAAGCACCCTCTGAAACTTTGTACTCTCGTCGTGGAAACACTGGCCTCTTCATCCGGGGAGTTGTCTCTCTTCTCAAAAAGAAGGCTTGCGCCTCGGCGTTGTGTGCCCTGCAACGCGCGGAAGCTCAAAGAAATAGAAGACAGAGCGCTCTTGGCGACAGTCCGACACTCAGCCAATCTTGCCTCAGGGTGCTGGGACAAAAGTCGCTGATAATAAAAATTGCGCCTCTAAAGCCGTATGTTTGAACTATTGTGGTATTCAAGAAAAAAGTTATGGAAGAGGAAAATTCCAGCATGGCAATCTCTGAACGCCCACCATTTCCAACATGACACTCCTTGCTGATTCCACGTGCCTTGTGTACCGCTTTCCCTTTGTGCTCAGAAGCGCGCAGAGGAATGACATCTGCGAGATCAAGATCTCGCCTTCGAAAGACATTCAAAATAAACACGCTGTCACCAGCCACCTGCGCAAACAATCCACTTCGAGGTTCCAAAGGACCCACCTGGAAAGCGATGTTAAAAGTATCTGAGAAGAAAACGTTTCGCATGGAACTGGTCTGAAAACGTGCATTACAGCCCGCCCGGCCTTTTGTGGACATTTGATGTTGAAGAATGTCATGTCCATGAGTTCGAGCAGCCGTGGCAGCGTCCGACCGGCTGAGATTCGCTGCACCAAGCTTTGCTCTTCGTGTCTTGTCGGTGCCGAGGACGAAGATGATGCATACACAGGAAGATTGGCCGGGCGCTTCGCGCCAACCGCAGGATCTCCAAGATGGAGGCGCTGGCGCTTGCTGGAACTCACAAGGTCCGGGGCGCACTGATGTGTACCGGCATCAGAGCGTCGCTTTCTAGGCAACGGTTTTGGCCAAGGTCTTGAAGCTCGTGTCTTTGCTTTCTGGGTCGGCGATCTTTTCCGCGTGTCAGACAAAGCTGGAAACTGATCCGACCAGGTGTGCAGCGTACCTTTGCCAATGGCCTTGCGAAGGCTGTCCTGGACCTCAGGCGCCCGAACATGCCAAACACCTTGCTGACCTGGCAGTGACACCCCAGCGGTGAACTGCATGCACTGTGTGATCTCGTACACCACGGGTCGGCTTTCCTGCACCCACTGATGGTTAGGAAGGTCGGAGTATCTCAACTGCTTTCCAATACACACCATGCCAACAATGGCCCCTGTACTGCAGCCATCTTCTGCCGCAGCTTCGGACATCAATCCTGAGCTATGCTCTGGCAAGAGGCTCTGTAACTCCTGAGCATAATCTTCATCGAAGCCTGTCTTTTTGCCCTTGTGCAAAAAATACCACCCCGGTGCAAAAAGCGGTCTTGGGCGAGATTCGACCCGCTTCAAGCCTTTCACCATTGCTTCGGCCATCCTTGGCCCCTGCACAGTGAAAGCTCGTGTGCATGAGCTTGGATCGTCGCTTAAAGACATGGCAAGCACGGAAGACGCTGGCGCCCATAGACTCAGCAGACAGTAAGGCTCGGAAGGAACATGAAGAACCTTACATGAAAAGATAAATTGACTATCATTTCAAATGGTACTATCCCTTGCACGCAATGAGAGCTACGGCCTGCTCCCTGTGGCTTTGTTAAGCTGTTAGCTTGGGCTATGAGCCGTTGGTTCACTGACGGATTGAAGGGCAATGAGGTTTGGTTTCGAATAAATGTCAAACAAATATAAACATGAGCAGTGAAGCACTCAGCACTCCGATTACTCTTCCTGGTATCCAGTGGGTGTACTTGCAATGTCCTCAATTCCGTTCGATCCCATGTCAGCATGTCTTCCAAGCGTCACAATGAAGCCGGGGCAGGAAGCCTTGCAGAGCTGCATGGACACGGCACCCTGCAACTTTAAGCCTGACAGAAACGCGCCGAAGCCGCAAATACCTCGGATGATGAAATTATATTAATGAATTCTTGTGAGCCACTTGACTTCCAAATGTTGAAACATCGATGGTTTTGTACTAAGGTTGTGGCTTTCCAATGTGGAATACCTGTGGACTAATCATGAAATGAAATGCTGATGGACCACGTTGATGAGACACGAGAATATTTGAAAACTCATCAACAAATAAGATGCTTCTGAGCAGCCCACAGCTTTGGTGTGACCGGAATCCGAAGGCATAGAATGCTTCTGTGCCTTCGGATTCTGGTCACACCAGAGCATCTCCACTGCCTGTGAAATCTTGTGCTCTCTTTGTGTGCAAAGGCCTGCTACCTATCCCAAGCGGAACATCCGGAACATGAACCAAACTTCCGGCACCGAACCACCCCCCTAGCCTGTGAGGTGGCTTTGCCGCTCGACATGGCCCAAGTTCAACGAAGAGATAGTTGGAATAATCATCTAAGACACAACATCCAGGCAGTTACTTCTGCCCTCTAATAGAAGCCATATAGACCCAAAGTGCCAAACGGTCACTTACAAGATCAATCATGCATAAGTGACCTCGTTTCAAAATCTTTGAGTGACCTCTTTGCCTGGCTGATCACATGCTTTCTGCGTGTCACTGCGTGTTACTTGCGTGTCACTGAGATGGACCCTGAAAAGGTCATTTAAGGATTGGCTGTCTGCGTGTCACCTGCGTGTCACTTGCGTGTCACTGGTAAGCCACTTTTTGGCTCGTTTCCTTAACTGACCTCTTTCTAAATGCCACTTAGCAGAAAACACAAACAATGTCACAAGGGATCGTCTGGATGTTTATCTTATCATGAGGTGACGTCTCACAAATGCTAGGATCCAAACAAGTCAAACAAATGGCACATGGATAGTCTGTGACAATGATGTAAAAACCCACGGAGAGGGATAGTCTTGAGTGTCAGATTTTTTCATTGATTCGTTGATTCGCTCTTTCATTCATGCATTCATTCCTTTCATTTCATTTCATGTCGTTTCATTTCGTTTCATTTAATTTCATTCATTTCATTCATTTCATTTCGTTTCATTTCCTTTCATTTCATTTCGTTGCATTTCCTTTCATTTCATTTCGTTGCATTTCCTTTCATTTCATTTCGTTTCATTTCGTTTCATTTCAACTCATTTCGTTTCATTTCATTTCGCTTCATTTCATCTCATTTCATTTCGATTCATTTCATTTCATTTCATTTCATTTCGATTCATTTCATTTCATTTGTTTTGTTGCATTTCCTTTCATTTCGTTTCATTCATTTCATTTCATTTCATTTCGTTTCGTTTCATTTCATTTCATTTCATTCATTTCATTTCATTTCATTTCATTTCATTTCATTCATTCATGATTTCATTTAAGTTCATTTCCTTTCATTTCATTCATTCCTTATTTCACTTCATTTCATTTCATTCATTCATTTATTCATTCATTCATTCATTCTGAGCGTTCCAAGCGTGCCAAGCGTGCCGAGCGTGGGTGTTGGCGCGCTTGGCGCGCCTGGCCGAGTGTGCCGAGTGTGCCGGCGCACTTGCTGCATCTAAAAACCCAGGTTCTTGGCGAGGTCAAGTGTGCCGAGTGTGCCGAGTGTGCCGAGTGTGCTGGCGCACTTGCTACGTCTAAAAACCCGGGTTCTTGGAGAGGTCAAGTGTGCCGAGTGAGCCGAGTGTGCCGGCGCACTCGCTGCATTTAAAAAACCCGGTTTCCCATTGCAATGGGATGGTACTCTATTGTGAGCACCAACTTTTGGGGGTGAAAAAAAAACAAAACCCTTTCTCCACCTTTCTTTGAGTAAATCTGGTGCCTTTACTTCAGAAAGCTATATTTGTGTTAAAGCTTTAAAATGCAAGGTTTTCCAAATAATTAGATGCCTTATTAAACCCTTATTAAAAAACAGCACCCAGACAATTTTTCAAGGGGATACCTCATGATTGGCTCAGTTACTCAATAATATAATTGTTTGGATGGTACTCTATTGTGAGCACCAACTTGTGGGGGTGAAAAAAAAAACAAAACCCTTTCTCCACCTTTCTTTGGGTAAAGCTGATCCTTTTACTTTAGAAAGCCATATTTGTGTAAAACTTTAAAAAGCAAGGTTTTCCAAATAATTAGATACCTGAAAAAAACATAATTGGTTCAGTTACTCAATAATATAATTGTTTGGATGGTACTCTATTGTGAGCACCAACTTTTGGGAGTGAAAAAAAAAAACATTTTCTTCACCTTTCTTTGGGTAAAGCTGATGCCTTTACTTTAGAAAGCCATATTTGTGTTAAAACTAAAATGCAAGGTTTTCCAAATAATTAGATGCCTTATTAAATCCTTATTAAAAAAACAGCACCCAGACAATTTTTCCAAGGGGATACCTCATGATTGGCTCAGTTACTCAATAATGTAATTGTTTGGATGGTACTCTATTGTGAGCACCAACTTTTGGGAGTGATAAAAAAAACAAAACCCTTTCTCCACCTTTCTTTGAGTAAATCTGGTGCCTTTACTTTAGAAAGCCATATTTGTGT